AATAAACACCTCGGAGAGATGAATCCTGCAGGTCCTGTTCCAGCGACACGATTCGGATCCCGCAGAGCAGGATCGTACCTGCACCCATCGCACGCGGCAGCGCAGGTCCATGGAGAGTGGGGATGTGCACCAGAGCCCTCTGGCTCGCTCTCGGGAGGGACTAATGACCGCTGTGTGCCCACCAGGAACGTCATTTGGGTCTCTGAATGCTTTTTGGTCGTGTTTTCCCTCTCCTCATCAGCCATTTCATGATTCTCATTGATTACCTGCCGTGCAGCACCAGTCTCATGAGAGGCCAGGGGGTGAACAGAGAAAAGTAAACCAAAAAAATCACACCTTCTGCTGTGGCAGGTCGCGGCAGGCGCGTGCAGCCCCTCACCAGGATCTTACAGACACTGGTGCCGCAGCCGTTTGCAAAAGGAAAAGCCAGAGCGGGTAAAGACCTGGAAAAAAGAGCAAATGCCCACAGTGACGAGCAGCGCTGCTCCTGCAGCCGGATCCTCCCGGGGACGGCGGGGCTGCGGCCAGGGCAGGTCGTCACTACTCCGATGCAGAGCTTGCAGCATCCACATAAACCCCGCTTCCACGGGGTGCCAGCAGCTCACCTCAGACCCCCTCCACGTGCCCACCTGGCTCCGCAGACACGGAACGTCCCCGCTGCTTCCTGAGGCTGACATGGATCGATGGGAAAGGGGCTCTTGGCATTCAAACCGCTCGGTTTCTCTCTCCCTTCTGTTCCCCTTCCTCAGCCCACTGAAACACAGGCTCCTCTGCGATGTCTGTGTCTGTCTTCCTGTGAAGGCTGGCATAATTTTACAGCGTTTGATGCTAAGGAATAGTGTCATGCAGTTCAAGTTCACAGGCTACGATCCCATTCCTCCCTCCTGACCCCCCTGTGCTGCTCGTCCTCTTACGCCGCAGCCCTGCAGTGACCTGCAAGGGCAGACCCAACACCGTCGTGAAGATCCAGCGGGATGACAAAGCTTTGCCCGCAAGAGTCTCGCTGCCAAACCAGGATGTTTGGGAAGTGATCGGGACAGGGAATGATAGGAATGATAGGGCAGTGATCGTGCCCCTGTACTCGGCACTGGTGAGGCCGCACCTCGAACACTGTGTTCAGTTTTGGGCCCCTCACTCCCAGAAGGACGTCGAGGTGCTGGAGCGTGTCCAGAGAAGGGCAACGAGGCTGGTGAGGGGTCTGGAGAACAAGTCTTATGAGGAGCGGCTGAAAGGAGGCTGAGGGGAGACCTCATCGCTCTCTACAACTACCTGAAAGGAGGTTGTAGCGAGGGGGGGGTCGGTCTCTTCTCCCAAGTAACAAGCGATACGACGAGAGGAAACGGCCTCAATTTGTGCCAGGAGAGGTTTAAATGGGATACTGGGAACAATTTCTTTACTGAAAGGCTTGTCAAGCATTGGAACAGGCTGCCCAGGGAAGTGGTGGAGTCACCATCCCTGGACGTATTTAAAAGACGTGTGGATGAGGCGCTTAGGGACATGGTTTAGTGGGCCTGGGGGTGTTGGGTTGATGGTTGGACTCGATGATCTTGGAGGTCTCTTCCAACCTTCATGATTCTATGATTCTATGTGGGATTGGGCTCAACAGGCTTTCTGCTGCTGCCAAAAGCCTGCCCACCCCACAAGCCTATCCGCACTGAGGACACTGGAGACAGACGGGACTTGTCCAAAGTCTCTCTGTGAATCAAAGAAGAACTCGGGTAACCTCAGCTGTGAAACGGCTGTTCGTGTCTGGCATTCGCAGGCTGGGGTGTTTTGTCATGTGCACCTACCGCACAGATCCAGGGAAAAATTACCATTAAAAACTGGGGACTGGAGGAGATCCAAACAAGTCATCTCATCAGTTACATTTAGGTGATTCCCTGACAGACATCGTTCTGACGTGCTCTTAAAAAGACGTCCCTACCCCTGCAAAGAGGGGACTCCTGTACTGAGAATTTGTTCCAGGATTTAAGTCGTCTCGTAACTGGAAAGTTTTTCCAAAGATCTGGTCCAAGTCTGACTTGATTCAAACCAACACAAGGACTTTTGTCCTCTCACGGCGTCCCCTCTGCAGCACACGCACAGAGCTGAGCCCTCTCTATCGAGCTTTCACAGGTTAAACAAAACCATCCTTTTCACCTTTCCCCATGAGTTTCTACATCCATAGTCATTTCTCCTCTCCTCTGGACAACGTCCAACTTTTGTTGCTAACAATTTGGAGCAAGCAAAATAAGCACATAAGAAGCCCGGTGCTGATGATAATGAAGTTATGGCAACACTGGTGATGACTTGACTGGCCCCACATCCGCAGGTCGGGTTTCTGTAACGGCCTGATCTCATCCCGGGCTGATGCAGCCCCGGCCAAAGCGGCAGGAAGGAGACAACAAGGGCAGGAGCCTCTTCCAGCACGTGAGCCCGTGAGTCACCCAGCCTCTGCTCCCGCAGCCAGTCCGGTCTCCCGTGGGTGCCGAGAGCGGTTGCTGCTGGGCCGACGGCTACGGCGGAAGAATCACACCGGTCACGCTGGGGGGACGCGGCCACAGGCTGCAGCGACAAATGCCGAGAGACACCAACGGACCATCCTCTAGAGGCACCACCACGCGTGCCTGCGCCGCAGGCGCCGGTCCGGAGCGTCCGGCAAACCTGGCAGAGAAGGAGAATCTGCTTTCCCTCTCCGTGGCACAGTCAAGTGCGTCCCCACTCGCACGCAGAGCGTGCGAGGACAGCGAACTGGGAACGGCTGCTGGAGCAGGCGTCTGTTCTGCACCCCCCTCCACACCGGCCGCTCTGGACACGAGGCACCGAACGGCCTCAGCACCGTGTGCTTTGGGAAATCCCGTTTGTTTGGTTTATCTTACAACCACCTTGGAAGTAACAAGGAAAAACATTACCAGCAAAACAGCAAATGATTTTTAACCAAAGAAAACGTTGTTATCCACCTGACCCAACAGAAGAGCTTCCTGTTGACCACCATATATGGTAGAAAGGTCTAGAAAATGACAGACAAGTCATTTTGACTGTTCTGCACACGTTAGACGGGACGAGGGAACGCTGGTTTTGAGCGTTTCCTCAGATAAACAATGAGATTCCAGAAAGATGAAAGACTCGCAGGAAAAAGTCAATCGGAACAGCAACGGGTTTATTTTTCTATTTGAGGCGCAGAATAACACCACAAAGAACACACGGATCGTGGAAGGACAAACGTTCACATTTCTGCAGCTGCAATTGCTTCGGTCTCACGGGCAGGGTGGACACAGCAGGGGTTTCACCCGAGACAGGCCCCGTTCCTCGGTGGAACCGGGTGGCACAGCGCGACTCTGTAAGGCTTTGGGACTTACGATTATTTTAGAGGCGACGGTCCGCCGCTGCATTCACCCGCGACGCCAGGCTTCTTTAGAACCAAGGCCTTCTCTGTCGCTGCGTGCTCTTACACGACCTCGCCCCCGTGTATGTACGAGCGGGGCCACGCACGCCGAGGGGCCGAGGTTTAAAATACGCCACGAGGGAAAAACAACGGCGGAGGCACCGGGGGG